CCTACAAAGGTCTCAAACATGATAGAAAAATTAATGAGGGATTTTTTATGGGAACTAGGAGTAGAGAAGAAAGACCATAGGATGAGGTGGGAAGTGGTAAATAGGAACAATAAGCTAGGGGGGTTGGGATTGGGAATATCAGGAAAAGGAACATGGCATTATTGGGGAAATGGTTGTGGAGATTCCCGTTGGAAAGGGACAAATTGTGGACGAAGATTGTGGCTAGCATACATGGGCTGGATGAGAATGACTGGGATCCTGGAATTTTGGCAAGGACTACTACCGCATCCCCGTGGAAAGCCATTCATGATCTGCTTCCAGTTTTCTCCCCTTGGATTAGGTACGATTTGAACTCCAGTAATCGAATAAAATTCTAGGAGCAAATTTAGGTTGGGGACCTACCCCCTGAAAGACCAATTTCCATCATTGTTTGCTTTGTCAGATTTGAAAAATGAACCCATTTCCTCCTTGGTTCCTTCTGATTCTTCTTCTGGGTTTGGGTGGAATCTGGGGTTGAGAAGGGCAATAAGGGATACAGATTTGGGGTGTATGTCATCTTTGTTAACCATCCTTGAAAATCTTTTCTTGAACCCTAGTAAGGGAGACACCAGAATCTGGACCCCTTCTTCATCTGGCTCTTTCTCTTGTGCTTCGTTTTTTGAGACATTAGTCCAACCTACTACAACGCTTGGGCTGTCATTCCCGGTTAAAGACATTTGGAGCAAACCCATTCCTCCTCGGGTTGGTAGTATTTGTTGGGAAATTTTCCTGGAAAGAGTTAATACAAATGACTTGCTTCAAAGAAAGAGGCCCAACTGCTGTTTGCTTCCCAATAGGTGTATTCTTTGCAAAGCTGATGGGGAAACGGGTTATCATATTATGGTTACTTGTCCAGTTACTAAGATTGTTTGGGAGTGGGTGTTTTCCCTTTTTGGGTGTACTTGGAATCCCCCCGGAAGTGTGCAATGCTTGTTCTCTCCTTCTTTCTTTAGTTGGCCTAAGAGAAGGGGGAAGATTATGTGGAGAAGCATTAGGGCTGCAGTGTGCTGGTCAATATGGGAAGAAAGAAATTCACGAATTTTTTCAGATAAGGGAAGAACCACAGAAAACCTAACAGATTTGATACTTTCAAGGGTTGCTCATTGGCTGAAATCAATGGAGATATTCTCTGAATTCTCTATGGCAGACATGCTGAGAAAGTGGAAAGAGGTTGTTACTGCCGTTATGTATAAAAGGAACTGTATTCCCATTTGGACCCCCCCTCCCACCGGATTCATAAAACTGAATTTTGATGGATGTAGTTTAAGGAATCCAGGGCCCTCTGGGATAGGGGGTGCTTTCAGGAATGAGGAGGGGTATATTACTGCCATGTTCTCTGGGCCAATTGCAGAGGGTGACTCTCTTAGAGCCGAAATTCTAGCAGTTCTTGAAGGAATCCAAAGAGCAGAGAATTAAGCATTAGATGCTTAGTGATTGAGGGCGACTCGAAGGTGGTGATTAGGTGGCTGAAAGGAGATATCAGTGGCTTGTGGAGCTACAGCAATGAGAAGAAAAAATTTAATTGGCTGTGTAAGGACTTAGAGGTGCAATACAGCTAGGTGAAGAGAAGTGCTAACTCAATAGCTGATGGGTTAGCTAAGCAAGGGGTGGCTAAGGATTCTTTATTTTGGGCACATTTTTAGCATTTTGTTGCCATTTTGATGTTGGGGAGTTAAGATAGTTTACCTCCCCATTTTCTGTAATTAATTTTCACAAGTATTATTCATTAATAAAGATTTCTGTTATCGATCAAAAAAAAAAAAAAACAACAATAAGATCTAGCATTTTACTCCAAACCCAGCAGACAAATTTGATCTATAATTTCTTATGATCCATTTTGGGTTTGGAGACTAGTATTGCATTTCAACATTGCTATATGGTTCAGTGTTTTAAAAGGCATGGAAGCTGTATGCTTGGAGGCACATCTCCAGGTGAGGCGCCCCCAAAATGCCCTAAGGTGTATGCAAGAAGCATTGATGCCTCTGAGGCGTATGCCTCATACGCCTTTTGCATGAGGCATGCTAGAGGCATACGCCTCATGCACACCTCATAAAATGGAACAAAAGGAAAGGGAAGGAAAGGGATGGGAAAGAAAAAGAAAGAAAGAAAGAAAGAGAAGAAAAAAGGAGAAAAGAAAGAAAAGAAAAGGAAGGGAAGGGAAGGAAAGAGAAGGGAAGGAAAGAGAAGGGGGAAGAAAGTTTCGGCTGAGGGCTTTCCCCCCGGACCCCCTTGTTACACCTTTTTAATGCCAGCCCAATTTGGTTTTCAGCTAGTGTTGTGCATCTTCATTTTTCTTAATATAGGACATCTTTCATAAAATAACTTGTGAACATGTTTAATAGTGATGCATTCAATTATTGCTTCTAATGTTCTTTGATTCTTTCCTTCTCTTTGAAGATTTGAGCATTTCTTTCCTCCCATACTGTCCAAATAATTGTATCCCTTGTGCATTTCCACATAACCCTTCCCCTTTTCTTTGGCCAACTGAAAATTGTAGATGCAAAAAGGTTTGACAAGCTAGAAGGAAATCATTCACCCACATCCATATAGAGAGAAAAATCAATCCCAAATACAAGTAACAAATGGACGAGATTAGCAAGTGATAGCATGTCTCACCATTTGCTTTGCAAAATATACACTAAAAGGGGGATAAGCAACACTAAGGTCTCCTTTTTTGTAGTAGGTTACAAGTGTTAATTCTCTCATAAAAGACCTTCCAACAAAAGACACAAACTCTAGGCGGAATTGGTATATACCAAACCTCTTCTATAGGAAAAAGCTGTAGGGATAAAGAAGGATGGGACAAGACTTCAAAAAAATAGGCACAAAAAGAACCTAAAGAGGAAGAAGATCAAATCCAATAATCAAAAAGATTTGAAGGAGTCTTTACACATTTGGAAATTCAGAATCCCTAGTACCCCTTCTAAAACCCACATCCCAGCCAAAGCCTATGTAATGCGAGGGTGCAACAATTTTTGAGACAAATTACCCTTTAAAATAAGACAATGCATAAAAGGATGGAAATTGGTCTTTTATTAAATTTACAGCAAAATCTATGATGCATTCTATGGAAATTGTTGCAATGTAACTCAAATGTGAATAGATCAATGATAAAGCAACACGTCACAGTTATGTCTTTAATGTTGTTAAAAGCCTTTAATGATAAGTACACCTTGTGAAATGTGAACCAATGAAAGTAAGTTGATCATGTGACATCTTTAATGTGATTGATTGAAATTTTGATGTAACGTGCTGAAAAAATTTTGAAATGCACTGTAGTTGGATTAAACTTGCATATCATATATTCTATTTTAGTCTGACTTTTTTTAAAACCTCTTGCTTCTAAGGTATTTGTCCATAAATTTAATTTTGCATTTAATCCTTCATTAGTTTTATCAATTAAAATAATGTCATCAACAAAAAACGTGCACCATGATCCTTCTGTGCAAATATATAAGGGCAAGTGTTGAACCTTGGTGAAGACCCATCATAACTGTAAAATTTGATGTCTCTCCAAGAAGTGTTCTTACATGGGTTGTTGCACCATATTATTTTCCAAGATCCACCATATTATTTTTCTAGAGACTCTATCATATGCTATCTTTAGATCAATGGACACCATATGAAGATCTCTTCTCTTCTCTCTGAACTTTGGTATTAATCGTCTCAAAAGAAAGATAGCTTGAAAGATTGATCTCCTTGGCATAAACCCAAATTGGTTCTTTGATATACTTGTTTTATGTCATAACCTTTGGTCAATTATTCTCTCCCAAAGTTTCATATGTGGCTCATGAGTTTAATCCTCCGATAATTAATACAACTTTGTATATTATATACCTTTGTTGTTAAATACAGGCATCATACTGCTCTTTCTCCACTTAGAAAAACAAATAATAAATAAATAGGAAAACATCATCATTCAAAACTTTCTTGTAAGCTATTTTAAGCATGCATGAGTGCATACTTACATATAGCATGCACAAACTTCCAGTTTCAATGCATTTACTGTTCAGCCTACCAGTTCTTCACCAAGCCAATGGTATTGAACTAGGGCTGTCAATTAGCTCAGCCACGCACAGCTAGACTTAGGCTTGTCACTCTAGGGTGAGGCTTAGGTCCTTGACAAGTCTGAAGTGCCAACCTTTGTCTCAGCTTGTCAAGATTTTTTATCAGATCAGGCTCAGGCTTGACTTGCTTAAAATACTTCAGCACCTCAATTCCAAGATCCAAATATGGATATGGACATTAGCATTGGTAAATGGGGAAAATGCTATTTGCTTTTCAAAATCTAGTGGAAAGTAGTTGTGGAGTATCCCATCTAATATATATGTATATATTAATTTTATGTGTTTCTTCCCTTAGTGTTCACATTCTACCCAGCAAACAAGATAAAAAATGCCATCAATATTTTGTTGACAAAGAAATAAGTAAAACTGTTTTAGAGTTAAGATGGTAATGCATGGAATGATTGGAAATGAAAAACTTGTTATCTTGTGGTGATCATGCTGTGAGCCTATCATCAGAAATGAGAAAAGTTGTTTTTATTGTAGCAATACTGCTGTATCTAGTGTCATTATCATATTTTATCAAGTTGACAATGGGTATTCTGATCATGTTGAAGATGAGTGTGGTAATTTACAATACGGTTGATGGCTGAACCTCACTGTTTAATGACATTTTGTAATTTTACATTCAGTTTTAGATGCATGTTGGTACATGGTTCGATATTGATACATGCAAATTAACTTGCATATGCGTCCATATACAGTTATATGGTTGATGTGAATATACATATGTCTATGTATGCATGACAGTAACAATTAGAGACATATTTGTTTGCATGGTGGGTTGGGTAGATGGTTTGTGTGCATATGGGGGTCACTACATTGCTCATGTAGGGTGTATGCTAGGATTTGTTTAATCATCTTCATTCATAAATATGAAATATCACATCTATGCAGGCTATTTTCTCCGATGATTCAGATGATGAAGGGGAGAGCTCTAGTGCTAATCAAGTGGAGAATCCAGAAAAGAAGACCGAAGTAGCTAATACAACTCTGAACCGTTTGATAGCAGGTGATTTTCTGGAATCTTTGGGTAAAGAGCTAGGCTTAGAGGTTCCTCCTGATCCAGTTGACTCAATAAACAAGGCCAGCACCACAGCTTCTCAAAAGGAAAGCTTAAGGGCAAGCACAGGATGTGTTAAACATCAACCTGCTGATGTCAAATCTTCTTCCATACTTGATGATGTGAATAAACCTGTGAGAACGCAGGAGGCTGCATATGGAAATATTAGCCTTCTGCAAATCAAAACAGGAAGCTCATCCAATGGAAACAACCTTGACTATGCTAACCCACAGAATGATGGGACTCAAGTAAATTCCACCATCCAATCTGGCGGCAACTCCAGTAAAGTTGATCTAGGAAAGATGGACCCAGATGATAAGAGGGTTAAAACATGCTTCAGACAGGATCAAGGTTGGAAGAGCAGTGAATCATCGGATGATGAAAGGAGTAGAAGACACTCAAGCCGGCACAGGAGTCAGAATAGCAGTTCATCATCAGAAGATGAACAGGTTCAGAAACACTCTAGGCGACATTGGAGTAGGAGCAGTACTTCAGGCAGTGACTCTTCTGATGGCCCTAGATATCGAGATCATTCAAGATCAAAAGTGGAAAAGAAAGGTTCATCTCGAGGGAAGAGTTCTAGTACCAACAGAAATAAAAAACACTCAAGGCACCGAACCCACAGAAATGGGGATTCTCCTAGTAGTTCTTCTCGTCATGGTACTGAGAGAAGAAGACATGGAGAGGCTAAGAAAGAGAAAAGAAAATCAAAAGACCATGGAAGTTCAGTTTCTTCAAAATATGGTTCTCACAGAAAGCACCGCCGAGATGAAAGGTAGTTCTTAGCTATATTCCTTCGGAAGACAGGATGTGCAAGTTAGGTTGAATGGAGATGTGTCAGTTCTTCAAGGACTGGTTTGCTTTATTTTTGTTGAAGCAAAATTTCTATTTCTTTCGCCCTCTCTTGGTTGGCACCTCTTCAGATGGGGCTTTCCCATGGAAAAATGAGATGCATCGGGTTTCAGTTATGAGTTGGGCGGCCAACAACAGGAATGAATTTCATTTTAGATTTATCCCTTAAATACCTGTCTACTTCAGTATGTTGTGGTGAGGTTAAATATCTTCCCCAAATTCTAAGTGTTCACTCCAGTCAGATGTGATTCATGTACAAGTGTGGTTGCGAACATTAAGATTTGTATATAGATAGCTTGTGCAATTTTTACCTCGTGTAGCTTTATTGTAAGCAAATGATTCATGCATAATAAGACTGCCATATATAGAAATACACCGAGGATCCTTTACATCAAAGAAAGGAATACCAAAATTTGTTTTCTTTCATCCGAGAAAAGAAGAAAAATGCAGGATCCATGGCTTGCAGAGAATATTAGAAGGAATATGGTATGAGAATAAAAACTCTTGTTTGTATCCAAGACAGTAAGGCTGCATTTGGCATTCCTTATTTTAAGGATTTATCTCCTTTTTGCAGTTAAAATGCCCCTATAAACATTGAGTTTTTAATTGCAAAAAGGAGACAAATCATTAAAATAAGGAATGCCAAATGCAGCCTAAGTTTGATTAGAATCATTAGCCTGTTGATACATCAAGTAATGACCCGTTCCACAATTAGTCAACTGGATTTAAAAATCATAGTCTAAATTTTCCCCGAGTTATTTAAATCATGAAGGTTTTCAATAGCCTTGGCTACTCTTTAGTTTTAACGCTCCGTGATAATGGAAGAGTATACTATACCACTAAAACCTTTGAGGGTATCACATTTTTTCCGGTGTCCCAATTTGAAGGATTGACTCTATAGCTTTCCCCAACTTGTATAGAATCTCTCATCAGGCATCACACACTTGCTAATTGGATTTATTAAGACTGCTGATTCCAATTAGACTATGAAACCAAGTATGCTTATTGTGGGTAACCATAATAACGATGACGTTTGATGGATTATCATAAACAGTATCAACCAATTACCATATGTGAGACCAAAATAACCTGAATTTCAATTCATTCATTTCTTAAAACCGTTGAACCTGAAGGTCATGTAGGATATGGTAAGACATGCTAGTTGGGACTTGGGAGGACCAAAAATTGATTAATGCTAACCAGTTGTTTCTCCTTTAGATAAGAAGCAGAATATTCTGGAACTCTGGGTTTTAGACTTTTAGCTCTCTACTTATATTTACATAGTTGACTTAAATTTGTTTTGTTATATTCCGTAGGACTGGAGTCTGGAAACACATGGGGGAGATGAGATTATTCGATTTCAGGCAATACCGAGCCTATCTCTTTTCTGTCCTTCGACCATAGACTAATTAAATTGTGACTCCTTCAAAATTTTATTAGTTATTTTGGTAAACAGGGAGAGAAGTGTTCTATTAATTAAGATGCTCTGTGCGTCTTGATACAAATAATGACATCTGATCCATGTCATATTTACGTTTTCTTTTTATTGAATTAAATACTAATCTGTTCATCTCTCCATGCTCCGGACCCTGGACAGCTAATCTTTCCATCCATGTGGTGAGGGATCGTCCACATGTACTGTCCTACCCAGTACTCAATGGTCTTTCAAACTTTTCACCCAATAACAGTAGCCTTAGTTCTCACAATTTTCTTTATACATGGACAAGGGTTACAGTAGGGTCTTGCAACATTGGAAGAATTAACATGTAGAAACATACTGGGCTCCTACATCATCTTCCACCATTACCAAGCAAGAAAAGAACTCATCTTCCAAGCATTCACTAAACATCACAAAGGGACAGGATTGCAGACCTGCTTTACCAAACTGCAACCCAACTCTACCAAAACAAGTTCATAGTCTTCTCAACTGAGTAGCTTTTATATGTCGATCTTATAAATGGAAATGACGTGGACCAGATGCTACCACACCGATTTGTTTATTTAGCTTTCCTTTAATGTAAATATCAAGTCTTAGCTCTTAGGTGCGAGTCTACCTCAAACTACACGTATTTATCTCTTAGGACTCGTCACATCCACACTCAGTCAACACACTATAGGCCTTTGCCCACGTCTTAGGTATTATTTTTCTCTTTTTACTTCTTAAATTATTGATTTTTTTTTTACTCCAAGATTGTTACAACTTGATATTAATGTGGGTAGTTGGCACTGAAATCCTTGTCGACAAATATAAATGGGCATGATACAAATGGGCTAGGAATGTTATATGGGTAGAGTTTTAATTAAGAAAATGTCATAATCTCAAGCTCCAATTTCAGGTAATGATCTGATCAAATCGATCACCTCTATCTATGTATCAGGTGTAGGATCCACAGATTTGGTTTTTAGGGTTACTGCATTAAATATCTTATATTCATGTCAGTCTTGGTTTGAAACCCATGACCCACTTCTAATAATGGAAGGAATCTTTCTTTCGATTTTCACTTGTAGCAGCTGAGCTGATGTGTTTCTTCATGTTAATTTGAAGGGTGAACCCCAGAGTTTCACTGGCCTTCACATTTTGGTGTTAGTGTCACTTCACTTCCATCTAAATTCTCAGACTTTCAGGTGATCACTTGTAGTTTTATTAACTTCAACCACTTTTAGGTTTTAGGTGAAGGGGAGTAGGAGACCAACAACTTCATTCAATAAGTACATAACAAAGACCATTAACCCTTTACGATAATTAGTTTAATGGGTTTAAGGACGAGCTTCCTTGACCTCATAATTTGCCAATTAATCTATATATACCTAATCATGATTTGACCCGTTTAATAATGATGGAAGATAAGTTAATTCTGTCTGTCTTTATACAATTATACCGCCTTCCTAGAAATAACACGACAATTTCTTAAAAGGAAGGAGCTCTATTCGGGCACAGCTGAGGTGGATTCATGGATATGATGAAATATTGACTGGTCTTAAATCCAAATGCAATTTTCAATCCAACACGCTTAGGCAGTTAGTTAGTCTTAGCTTCTTTTTTTCAAGTTTCGACCACGGTAGAGGCATGGGCCGGGCCCATGAAAAGTGGTGTTGCTCATAAGTCTTCCTTTGGGCCCCATCCAAGTTTTAAACCATGTCTTCACCCAAGCTCAAGGGTTAATGATCATAAATGATGGATGGCAGCCCATGGGGCTGATGGCGACAAAAGAAAACTTGTTTATTTGCCACTTCAATGGAATCACTTCGAAATGGACTCTTATCGGGTCGAGAAGAAAACCGAACATAGAACCATTTTACGACCATCAAGATTTTTTTTGGAAGGCCATTTACGACCATCAAGATAATGCTAAAATAATTGTTTTTGTCGTAAAGATGATAGATCTATCTACCACATGGCCAATGATCTTCATCCCTCGACAGTCGACATGACATGTCAAGAATATGGCCCCTTATTACACCGTAAAAATGCTATTTTACCATCCGCCAAAGGCCTCTTACGTGATTGTGATTGTAATTGATAGTCCAAATGGGAAACGGGTTCGAATTCTTCATACATGGGTCCATAATTGGTTTGCTTTTCTATTGTTGGGTTAGTGGGAGTTTACTTTAATATGTAACAAACCATGTAAACACGGGTATAAAAGTAAAATTAAAAAAAAAAAAAGTAGAAGCAGTATTGGATCTTAGTGTATGTGTTTGACTCCGTTTATATTTATCGAGTAAATGATACTACATAGGCATCCCATAAGTAAAGGCCTCAATACTATATAGGCATCTTCATTGATTATTTTTTTCGATTTTACAATCATACAATTACAAAAAGTTTATTCAATAAACATAAACAGAATCAAACACCCTCCAAAAACTAATAAATGAAGAAAGAAGAATGAAAGTATTGTACGTATGCTGCAAGTATGTGTTCCACGTGGGGTTTTCACGTTCTCACGGTTGTTGTAAATTACTTGTAATTAAAAAACAACAATAAATTCTCACCTAACGAAGAGCAGTGACCCGGCAGGAAACAACACACCCATGTGAGCACAGCAAAAGGCAGGGCAGCGTTTATTTGGGAGAAGAAACCCTTTCAGCCTTAAGACACCTTTTCTCTATTCTATTCTACATTTATATATTTCTAACTTTTGACAACTTTCTCATTATTATAATCAATGAAGTAAAGCAATTTTTTGGACTCAAAAGGTTCAGTTTCAAATATCAATTGCTGGCTGGAAGCCTGGAACTGAATCCACCTTTACTTTTTGTTTTGGTTTTGCTTTAATTTGAGGGAGTGGAGGAAGCAAACTGAATCCACCCAGCTTTTAAAAAAAGTATCCCAATCCCTCCTACCCCAAACCCAATCAAAGGGTTGCATTTTATCAGGGATCAGGTAGGGTTTTTGGTTGAGAAATGGTACACTATTTATAATTGGTTTAGGTACCTGAACCAGGAGAAACAAAACCAGACAAGTTATACTACTAGTACCCACAATGCACTAGAGCTAAAGCTTTCCTCTTCATGGATGAGCTAGTGTTATTCTCAACCTTGTAGCCATTGTCCCTTGGTTTTTGTTCAATACAAAATGGTTGTGATTCATGAATTGTTATAATGGATGGGCCTAGGGTTGGGCTAAACTGGCCCCTAGGCTTGGAAACTGGGCAGTGCTTTTGGCAAAGAGAGATGAAAAGGGGGATTGGTTGGGCCAGCTTCATTGGTGGGTCCAACTGCGTGAGTCTTGAGAATAATATCAAACCAAAGCACAACCCAACCATGAAGAAAGCATAAATGGATTCAGAAGTTGACACCACCCGGCACCCTCATCCATCCATGACCCATTCACAGACAACATGAACGTATGAAAAGAACAAGAAGAGAGATGGGGAAGTCAAGTTTATACAATTTCTTCTTGACCTATTATTGTCAAGTCAAGTGGTGGACTGGTGGGGTTGGGATGAATCCATAGCCTCCCAAGTGGGGTGGATCTTAGGAGAAGGAGAGTGAAAAGCAGTAAAAAAAAAAAAAGCAAAATCCCAAAAAAAAAAAAAGAGATCATGTGTATTCATATGGAACCTTCTAGATCTTGTATCTCTCTGTAATCCCTTTATTTTGTTATCATTTCTAAATACAATCACCAAAGCAGACGAGACTACTAGATCCCATGGGCCTCTCTTCACCCCGTAAAAGCCTAAAAGGTTTTAGCTCTACTTTGTCCGCCACCTTGCCCAGAATTCCCAAACCATGATCCAATCTATTGTCTCACTTTCCATGCGTCCAAATTGGGGTTTTTTTTGTTTGTTTAAAAAGCAAGAAATATTCCTTTGGATTTTTTCCTTTCCCATTTGTCCTTGTATGGTTTGGCTGTTGTTTTCTTGTTTCTTTTCTCCATTTTTCCTACAACCTGCCAATCTCTCTCTCTCTCTCGTATTGTTATTCTGCATCGTGTGTTTTTATACTTCTCCGTTGTTTCTATCCTCTGCTTAGTTTGATATGGTGGGGGTCCCCAAATAACACATCCAATCAAGAAGAAGCAGTAGTTAGGCCAGATTACATCAAAAGAATAAAAGAATGCCACTTGGGGTTGAGGAGGTCATGGTGAAAACCTAAGTTTGAAACTGAATAAATGTTTATTTTAATTAAAGACCACTAGAGTGTATCCTCCTCTAGATAACGCATTATTTTGGGATATTCAGTCATTCATTACTTGATGTAAACATTAACTAACCACAATACATTTCTTGGGTGGTAAATCTTGACGCCCCCCTAGAAGTTTCTGAATTCATTTAAGAGTTCTGAATGCCTAGATCAGCACATACGTATTACCTAATACCTATACCATCATCATTTTCTGAAGACAACAAGTTAGACGAGAAAAAAAGAAAGAAAAGAAATAGACGAATTGAGCCATCCAGATTGACGAGTCTATGCCTCTATTGGTGAACGAAGCTCTGTAGAAATAGAACTCATGAACCCAGTTTGTCAAACGTTCATTGCTGTCAAATGGTTATATTCGTCAATTTTCTTCTCAAGTAATAAACTTGGAATTTAAGGGGCTTATAGACTTGTAGATGATAAGATGAACCCATATCCATTTGATCTTTGCCATGTGGGTTAAGGCATGAGAATTCCGCAATCAGTGCTGATACAAAGAAAAATTAAAATATTGATGCCTTACACATTAGTTCATCCTTTGAATGTATCTATACTCTGGATTTATGCGTAGACTCTCTCTTTCTCTCTCTCTAAGACCGACCAGGCGACTTATAATGTAATAAGCTGGAGAGAGGTTGTTTTAATGTTTTTTAATGACGAAGTTTCTGGGTTCCCAGCATCTATCTCCAGTTGCCGCTAACATAATCACATTCCTGGTGGTGGGAGATTCGTAAGTCTTCCCTTAAACTGCAGCACCCAATGAGGTCAAGCCACGTTGCCGCGTTTCGGACTTTTAAACCAATCGAACACGTACGCCCTCAAGATTAAAAAAGAAACAAAGGAACATTCCTGATATTTTTCCTCTCACTGAACCAGATGATAGCCTAGAATATAATACCTTCTCAGGCAGATAAAAAGTCTTTTGCATCAGAACGAGAAGTCCTAAGCCTCAACTCTTGTATTCCTCTGCAGGAGCAGAAAATTGCTTGTCCCTACTGTTTTTTATTTTTACTTTTTGTTTTTTTGGGTTGATCTCCTTGTACCAGACTACCAGTACATGTACATGACATCTGATTCAATCCCACTAGTCGTCCTATCACCTATGGCTATGGGAAGGCTAGATATTGGGCTCATTGACATTGTTGACTCACTGGAAAACCCATATGACAAATATGGATTTTGTGTAACTAATTATTTTTGGAGGAAAATTTTATAATTATTGAAAAAAAAGAGTAGATAGAATTTAGCAACATTGTAGGTCAAGAATGAGAGAAGATAATTTTATAATTAATGGCTGCTGTATTTTTCTTTCTTTTTTTTTTTTTTTGCTAATAATACTCTGACCCATCTTATTTTCTCTATGCTTATTCCAATTTCTTCCCACTGAGAAGATGAAGAAGAAAAGAAAAGTAGTGCTTGATAAAATATTATCAAGTAGTGCTTTTAATCATTTACGTTAGGGAATTTAAATATATCAAAAATTAATTTTTTAAGTTGTTAGATATTAAAAGTAATAAAATATGGTTCCCTACGGGAGTGAGTAGAGAATCATTTGTTAGTTTGGAATGAAATATAAAAGATAAAAGAAGAAAAAAACGAAATTAGAAAAAAAAAAAAGGTGGGAAGGGAGAACATCAACTCATTACTCATGTGAGTGCATCCTGTTTGACTCTGTCTACACGTTGCGACTTCCCCGCCATGAGGAGGTATCTTTTGATCATTCAAAAACACAAATTTTCTTTATATTAATGTGATATGATGATCACCCACGGAACCTGAGTTTAAAGCGTGGTTGTTGAATAGAATTTAGACAATTATAGCGACTACTTCTTAGTAATTCTCGCTTAAAAGATATCTTTTTTTTTCTATTTTTCTAACATCGTTTAAGCATTGAATTTAATTATATATACATATGTGTATGCATGTAAAATAAATTTAATACAACAAATTCGTCTGTTTTTCTCTGCAGACTGCAGCTTCGTAGACAGAACACCAAAAATCCGCCCGGAATGAAAGCCCATTATTAGCTTCTGAGTTTAACCCTCGAAGCCCCCATAGGCGTGAAGTCGTGAACGATTATTGCAGCAGACATTTCATTGACCTTCTAGAACAGGGATTCTTTATTTGTTTTATATATTTATGGTTTTGGGGGGTGGTTTTTCGAGAGACGAAAGTTGAAATTAAAAGCTTGCACGTTGAGATCGGTTTCCATATGCGCGTTGCTTTCCGTCGCTATTGTCTGTTAGTCAATGGAGAGATACAAGTCTACGTTCAAAACTTTCACGCCATGAGGGAGAAGAAACAACAATGGGATTGGCCCTGTTTATAGCTATTTTACAGGCTTGTGGGAATGAGATGCTTAACATTCTGATTTTTGACAAGCGCATTTGAAGGTTAGAGGGGTGTATGATTCTGGGTTCCTTTTTTCTGAGGCGGAGATTTCAATTGAGCTACCAATTAGCAGATTAATAAGTGGTGTTGCAGGTCGGAAATATTGCCTTTGTTTTGTGACTTTTGTCTATATCAGTAACATTTTATTTCAATTTCTATTTTTTAGTTTGTAAATTTGCGGAATTGGTTGGACCTTTCTGCATCCGTGAAGAATTGGTTTTATTTCTTCCTGCATCCGTGAAGAAGTGCTGCTTTTTTATTTAAATTTTATCTTCTGGGGTCCTGGGCTTTAGGGTAGAAACCTGTTCTGGGGTTCTGGACTCAGTAGTTGGTTGGTGTTCTGTTAAAAAAAAAGTTGGAATTTTTTGGGTTTTGGTTCTGTGAATTGGTGGGAGGTGGTCCTTCTTGAAGAAGGTGCAATTCGTTGGGAGTTTTTTTGCTCTTGAAGGTTGCAAAGTTCTGTTCTTTCTGGTGAATTAAACTGTGCTGTGGGAATTGAGGGTAGAGCTGGTGGTGGAATAGGATGCCTAATGGTAGAAGAAGGAAGCTACATATCAGCAAGATCTATGCTTTCACCTGTGGGAAAGCATCTTTCAAGGACGACCACTCTCAGATTGGTGGCCCGGGCTTCTCGAGGGTGGTCTTCTGCAATGAACCAGATAGCCCTGACTCTGCTATCCGAAATTATGGAGGCAATTATGTTAGAACAACAAAGTATACGCTCGCCACCTTCTTCCCCAAGTCCTTGTTTGAACAGTTCAGGAGAGTCGCTAACATGTATTTCCTATTCACCGGCTGCTTGTCCTTCACTCCGCTTGCTCCTTACTCTGCAGTCAGTGCTATCCTCCCTCTTCTCGTTGTGATTGGGGCTAGCATGGTCAAAGAGGCGATCGAGGATTGGAGGAGAAAAAAGCAGGTATTTGTTTTTATGTGCTTTCTATGCCTATTGTTGGATAATCCTTCTCTGAACGCACTTGAGTTGTTACGGAGAAACTTGTTTCCTTTTTCAAACTCATAAACCTGCCTGATGTAAATTAGACGCTTCTCAGTAAGGCTTTCAAGTCATTTGAAGTTCGAAACTCAAAATTGGATTTCAATCACCTTTGTTTTTTTCTTGATAATACCTGGGAAGTTATGAATTGAAAATCTGGCACAATTAATCATGAGAAAATGTCCTCCAGTATTTTTGCTTCTGAAAGACTATGCCAGAAGGATACTGCTCCAGTTAATTTTATGTTTGAAACATGATACCCGGAGAAATTTTCTTGTCCTGTATATAAGAAGGTGCTTTTATTAGAACATTAACTATTTATTTAATAAAGTTTCCTGTTGGAAAGTTTTTCTCCTATTTTTGCATTTTTTTGTTGGATCTAAAACAAAGTTAATCTGTCTATCCAGCTGTGAGAGAGGAACTTAATTGTTAGAAGAAGCGGTGGCTTATTATTTAGACCTAATGTCATGTTCTGCAATATGAAATTAAATTGTAAAGTACTGTTGCTGTCATTGATATTGTCATCGTTGCATTCTTGGTTTTATTCTTGTTATTGTTGTATTATTATTTTTTCTTCTTTTTACCACTTTCGCATTTGTTTTGAAAAAAAATATATATATACTAAGAATAAATTTCATTTTTTATAAATGATTGATTGTCAAACCTTCTAAAAAATTTTTTAATCCATGTTAAGATTATTAGCTCAAAAATCAACTCACAGTAATAACTAGATTAGAAAGGTAAAGCAGAAACTACAGACTAACAGATATACTTTTCCTCTATCTCATCTACTTATTAATTTAGTTTTTAGTTTTATTATTTTAGGGTCTAGACAACAACTGTTGGTCATTCCTCACATACCTTTTTGAAGAGTTGGTTATGGCAGATTTATACATTATTAGTATCTAAACAACTTTCCGATTCTCCTTCTCATGTGTATATGTATATGTATATAATTAATTTAAGTAGATAATTGTCCAATTTCATTTTCTGATCTAGGCTTCTACAATTTGTACTCATTCTGTGATTCTAGCAGGGTGTTGTTCCTGTGTCTTAAAGGCATAATCTAATATCCAAATTCTTTCTCAGGATATTGAGGTGAACAATAGGAAGGTTAAGGTGCATCTTGGTGATGGCAATTTTGACTATACTGAATGGAGGCATCTGAGAGTTGGAGACATAGTGAAGGTAGAGAAGGATTCCTTTTTTCCAGCTGACCTACTCTTGCTTTCATCCAGTTATGAGGATGCTGTTTGCTATGTTGAGACCATGAACCTTGATGGGGAGACAAATTTGAAACTAAAACAAGCACTGGAGGTGACTTCAGGCTTAAATGAGGACTCCAGTTTCAGGGAATTCAAGGCTATTGTTAAATGTGAAGATCCAAATGCAAGCCTGTACACTTTTGTTGGAAGTATGGATTTTAATGAGCAACAGTATCCCCTTAATCCTCAGCAACTTCTACTCAGGGACTCAAAGCTTCGGAATACAGATTACATCTATGGGGCTGTCATTTTTGCAGGTCAGGACACTAAAGTTATTCAAAATTCCACTGATCCCCCATCAAAGAGAAGCAAAATCGAGAGGAAGATGGATAAGATAGTCTACTTCTTGTTTTGCATTTTGTTTTTATTGGCTTTCATTGGATCAATTGTATTCGGGATTTCAACTAGAGAGGACCTAGAGAATGGATGGATGAAAAGGTGGTATCTTAGACCAGATGATACAACCATCTACTTTGATCCTAAAAGTGCACCTATTGCAGCAATTCTGCATTTTTTGACTGCACTGATGTTATATAGCTACTTGATCCCAATTTCTTTGTATGTATCAATAGAAATTGTAAAAGTACTACAGAGCATCTTCATCAACCAAGATCTGCACATGTACTATGAGGAAGCTGACAAGCCTGCACGAGCTCGCACCTCTAATTTGAATGAGGAACTTGGCCAAGTTGACACTATACTTTCTGATAAAACTGGAACTCTAACCTGCAACTCCATGGAATTCATTAAGTGTTCAGTGGCTGGCACAGCTTATGGCCGTGGGGTCACGGAGGTTGAGAGGGCAATGGCTCGAAGGAAGGGGTCACCATTGGTTCATGATGTGGAAAACGGTGAAGATGACATTGAGGATCCTGCTCCAAAAAAGCCATCTATTAAAGGTTTCAATTTTAAGGATGAAAGAATGATGGATGGGAAATGGGTTAATGAGCCTCGACCGGATGTCATTCAGAAGTTCCTTTGTTTATTGGCAATCTGCCACACAGCCATACCTGAAGTGGATGATGTGACCAGGAAGATTTCCTATGAAGCTGAATCACCAGATGAGGCAGCATTTGTCATTGCAGCAAGAGAACTTGGATTTGAATTTTACAAGAGAACACAAACAAGCATATCTCTGCATGAGTTGGACCCTGTGTCTGGCAAACAGGTTGAAAGGTTAGTTTCTCCACTAGATGTGTTGTAGAGAAATCTTATAGTGCTCTACATGCATAGCATTGTCATTTTCTTTTAATAACCCTTTTCTATTCTGTATTATATATCAGTGTTTCAAAAGGTGTGGGAGGCGTACGCCTGTATGCCTCACACACCTCATGCACACCTCATATAAAAAGACAAAAAGGAAAAAAGGAAAAGAAAGAGAACGGAAAGAAAAAGAAAGAGAAAAGAAAGAAAAGGGAAGGGAAGGAAAGAGAATGGGAAAGAATGTGGGCTGGGGACTCCGACCCTGGACCCCCTTTCGCCCTCCCACCCCCTTTTCAATGAAGCCCTTTTTTTTGTGCTAGTGGGGTCTTACTCTGCTCTGGCTCACTCGCCTCCACTTTGACAAACCCCTTTTTCATCTAGTGTTATGTATCTTCATTCTTCTTAATATAAAAGATTTTTGTTAAAAATAAAGAAAAATGAGATCTTCCTTCCTCTTCTTCCTCCTCCTCATCCTCTTCTTCTTAAGGAGGTTTACGCCTGTTATGTTTTGAACTATGCCTCACGCCTCTAGGTAGTGGAACAACTTGCATCATGCCTCTGTGTTTTAAAACATTGGTATACATGTGGGACTCTCCACATAATCCAATCTATAAGCTGTACTTGTGATCAATATTTCTGAAATTCACATGAACCGGTAGAGTACTAGAGTGACTATCTATAGATTTGTTTTAATTTATGCGGTTCCTGACATGTTGGTCATACCAGTGGGTCTGACAATGAAATGAACCTTCAAGTGTATTACACAATGACCATGGAGGTTAGAAATGGCTAGTATACAGGAAGAGAGGGGTGTCCTTTCTTTCAGTTTAACGTATTTTCTGCTTGAGATGACCAGACAACTTGCTAGCGATTGTATATTTAGTTGGTTCTCCTTTCTTTTTGCAGATCATATAAACTCTTGAATATATTAGAGTTTAATAGCTCAAGAAAGCGGATGTCTGTGATAGTACAAAATGAAGAGGGAAAAATACTACTACTTTGTAAAGGCGCTGACAGGTTTGTAAAAAGAAAAGACTTTAGTCTAGCATGAATTGAAAAAGTAACAAAGGCTCTTCGATTTCAATTTCCCCTTTCTCTAAAGAATCTAACCCTCCCCCCCC